TGAAGTCCTCTCTTTTTGCCTCATCTCTGTCATCCCTGTCATAGATGTCCTCTGGCATCACTCTTGATGAATTTCTCATTTGCTGTTTCGTTAAATCTCAGTGCACCATTAAGATTTTCTCCCCTCTTCCCCTGTTTCCTGATCTCCCTGTTTTTTATTCTTCCTCCATCCTCTAGTCTGAGTCGGAGAGAGGTGGCTATCTTCTTCTTATTTCTGGCACATTTTAAAGAAATTTGTATTTGCTGCCCCTCTCCTCTCTACTATCCTGATTCTTTCTTCATTAGTACACTGGAAATAATCAGTATTTTGCCTGGGTTTCTAGGAAAAAGATCCAAACCAAGATGTGTTTAAATATTTTAGTTGTTTTGTTAAATAGTACAAAATCTGTTTTTAGAGAATATATTTTGAAGTAGGTTTCTTTACCCCACTGGAATTTGGTTTTTCTTGTTTTAAATATACATTTCAATAAATGTTATATATTTATGCTTAAAAAAACATAAAATAAATGCCTAAAAGAAAAATATTTTAAACATAACTCATAAGTGTAATATGTTCTTAATTTGTATTCTTGTTTTTTATTTAAGTAAATATCTAAACATTTTAAAAACAAGTTTAATTTTATTTGAAAAATGTAAAAGGTTTTTTTTTCTGTAAGATAATAGTGACTTTTTTTTCTTGCTTTAAGCATAAAAATATAAAAAACTTTTTGTTTTAATCGTCCCAAAAAAAAATAAAAAATAAAATATATATATATATATATATATATTTTTTTTTTTTGTGTAAATCCATCACAATTTAATGAAATTTAAGCATAAAACACGGGGTCCATGGGGAAAAAATATATATATATATATTTTTTTTTTTTTTGTAAATCCATCACAATTTAATGAGATTTAAGCATAAAACACTGGGTCCATGGGGTAAGAAAAATAAATGTGATTCAAAAATTAGTTTCTCAAGTAAATGTATCTTCTTTTAAGGCTGTTTAGATCCTTAAAACAAGACAAAAATACTGGTTAAGAAGAAAATGAGTTGTGCAGTGATTTTCCATAGTCCGTTTATATTCAGGGTGAAGGCAGAAATCTTTCCTGTAGCACACATTGGCACTGCTGCTGTTTGTGTGTGTGTGTGTGTGTGTGTGTGTGTGTTTGTTATATCTGTGTGGTGGACACTGTTGATCACTGTTAACAGATCCAGCTCACTCACTCACATGTAACGTCAGTCTTTTTTCTTTTTTCTGCGCTTGTGTGTGTGTATGTGTGTGTGTGTGTGCGCGTGAAGAGAACATGGCAGCTCTTGTCTGGTGCCTCAGATGTGGATTTCTCACATTACATCAATCCAGATATCTACCCTTTTGTCTCTGTGTCTTCCCACCTGATACACACACACAGACACCCCACCAGATCTCACCTGCTCACTTTCACACTAGTGACAGTGTGCTAACATGCTAAATGCTCCCATAGGAGTATTTGTGTGTAGATGGCTGTGTATTGATCAGTAGTGTTTTAGAAAGCTTTAAAAGGTCACGATACAGGTCTGGTCATATTTTAGTGTCCATCTTCCCCTACATCTTCTAGCCTTATTAACCATTTTACAGGGTTTGTGAGTCAGCAGGCCTTCAGCCCTGTGTATATAGCTGTGTGAGCATGAAGAATGACTTGTCTGTGTTGGTAGAAGGAGTGAGAGAGCAGGAGGGCTGACGGGATGGCTGGTTCAAAGAATGGAAGGAAAGGATGGAAATAGAGAAGAAAAGAGGCAGACTTCAGTAAGACGCTCCTGAGAGCGACATGTGTGATAAGCAAGATTGACACCAATGTCAGGACTGTATAGTGATCCCCTCATTTCCCTTCACTCTGTCTTTCAGTTGTCAATTTAAAAATGCTGTATTTGCATGATTATTTTGCTGAAACATCAATTAAAAATTCAATTAATTTCCCATGCCAAACTCACCGCCGCAACCTGGATGCCAGACTGTTGCTTTTTGGTTTCTGAGATCTTTTTAATAGGTGTTTTTTGTATTGTTGCGTGGTTGCTAGTGTGTTCTGGGTGGTTGCTTCCTGTCCAAGTCAATGTAACCCACCCATAAAGGTGTGGTCACATTTACAGTTGTTCAGTGAATTTTCGCAGGTGAAATCCAGTCATATCAGTAGGAATCCACACTAAATTCATGGATTTGGCACATTGACCAACAGAAAGCTGCTTGGTTTGAAAGTGACTTCTGTGTGAGATGTGCTCTGTACATCAATACACTATTGGCACTAGACAATGGGCCCTTTTACCCTTGAAATGTGCTAAAAGGTATCATCCAATTATGTGGAATGAGGAGTGGGTTCACTTGTTTTTTTTATTATTATTTTAAAAACCATTGAAAATGAGTCCTTGCAAATACTCAGGTAAAGTTACTTGGTATAACATATCATCTTTATCTAAAAGTAACAAGGCAGTATGCTTTGAGAATACCACTGACTTTGAGGTAAATGTTAATATGTTTTATGGTATTTTCATGGGAGATACATACTGTTATATAAAACAAATAAATCTATATTCTGAAAAAAAAAAACATTTTGATTACATTATTTTTATCTTACGTTTTAGTTATAAATATAATTTTTTATGTTCCTACACTTTAAGGGTTAAATCTGTAATTGGTTTCTGAGGGTGTGCTGCTCAAATATGAATTTTGCTGCAAGAGCTGCATAACTGAGCTCCCCAGTAGTTATTCTTTTATTCTGTTTCTACCCGTCTCTCACTGTCCCACTGTCTCTCTTTGTCTCTCCCTCTTTGTCTCTACACCTCTCTGCGACCTCTCCTGTCCTCTTTTTTTTCTTTAACAGAGCATATCTCTTTAATGCAGTCCTTTTTTAACATCTCATTCTCACTCTGCCACCATCCATGTCACTTCCTCTCCTGTCTCTCATCACTCTTTTTGTCTCCCTTCACCCCTCTCCTCTCCTCCTCCTCCCCTTTATATCAGTCCTGCTGATGAGAGAGGCACCCTCATAATCAAAGCATGACATGGAGAATTGTATGGAAATAAGAATCTGGATAGAACAGCTCCACACCTGGGATCCACCTTTAATTACCTTCTCCTTTCATATTTATAGAACAGTCCGTCTCACCAGAGAGTTTTACGCTCTGATGAGGCTGTTATTTGACACGACCATCTACAATTAGTCATTCTGGGAACCCATGGCCAGGTCCAGATGAATCTGCTACAAATCCCTTGTCTATTGTGTGTTTGTTTGCAGCCTTGGTAAATATTCAGTTTAATTTGAATATGCCAGTACTTTCCAGCATGTATTATAAATGTAATTATTAATCTAAGTGAAAGGCCATTCACAACCGATTTTTCATTTTTAATATGACATATTTTTTGAGTGAAACATGATATTCAATGTGCAAAAGTATAGGGCGAGAATTAATTTCATCCAGCAGCAAATGATTGGATCATGAAAAGTACGTTAGATGTTAGAATGAAGCCAAATTTGAATGCTAGTTTGTTAAAACAATGCCTAACTAGTTATGTGGCTATTGATTAATATATCCGATAGTCGCATCAACAGCAAAAGAAAGACATTTCTTTTTGGTTAAAATACCCTTTTTTTTTTTTTTTTGGAATAATGTGCTACAATGAATCATTCACAATAAGAGCAGGAACATTCATTAAGGAAGTAAATAGTGTTACACATGACTATTTGTCCCTGACATTCCTAGTTAGACATCATTAGTAGTAGCTAATGTCAGTTCAGTCATGATACAGTACTTCACTGGTCTTATTGAATGATAATGAGGCTGTGTTTTGATTGGATATTGATTGCAATGTAATGGACTTGTCACGTTTGAGCACATCCATTCAATAACATTACATTAATTACATTGACACAGTACACTCGCTGTTATAGACTGTAATATAAATGCATGGTGTGACTGAATTACTATTGTGAAAATATAATGTGAGCCGGGAAGTACTATAATGAGATTGTGGTTTTAGTTCAAAAGAATCGGTATGGTATTTCAAAACTCCCTCGTACTAGAGCAGTCATAACAGTATTGAAGGTTGTCGTCTGTACTACAGCATTATGAATAATTGATCATGAATATTTCTCACTGTTTTTCCTCAGGTCTTAAGCAACACAAGGCCACGAGACTCTGATGAGGAAATTCTCAGAGCGGCGACAGATGTGAAGACCCTCCTCTCTGGCGTCATCTGCAGCTCTGTTTGCTTCCACGGACGTCGGAGCAGCCATAACTCGACCTGCCTCCATCCTAGAGGTGCTATTCCTATGAGAGAGGGAGTGTCTGGCGTGCCAAAGCTCATTCCTGAACTCCTGAAGGGAGGAGCCGTGGGAATTGGAGGGATAGCTGGATTGATGAGGGTGCTGGAGAACAGAGTGTGAGCCGCTCTCCACGTCTCCACCCGAGCGCTGGGCTCCATAATCAGTTCATCCTCCCAGACACTTGAGCTCAACTTATTCTGGAGGATTTTTCTTTCACTATAAGTTTTGAATATATTCTAGTTTCTTTGCTCAAGTCGATGCTCTCCTTCATCAAATGTGGCAGGTGGGCCTGAGGAACGATTCTCTGTGAAACTAAAAGCAACAATGTGTAAGGTAGAGTGAGGTGGCAGAGGAAAGCAGGGTAAAAGCGTTGACTGGCCTTGGAACGTTTGAGTTGGAGTGCATCTATGCAAGACTTAGAAGGCCTGTGTAGCAATGGATGAGAGTTTGTGCCGAGGGCTGACAGGAAGAGGCAGCTAGACGGCAATGCATAATCGAAGCCTCTAAGTGTGCACAGGCGAGTACGTTTGTGTGCGAATGTGCATGCAGGAGCATGTGATTGTCTCTTGGAGTGCAGAATTCTGAGAATTGGACATTATTGCCGCTCCCTCCTATTTTTGTGCTGGAGCCAGGAGGGTCAACATTAACAGCGAGAGGGAGAGAGAGAGAGAGGGACGGATACAGCATAAAATAAATAAATAAATAAATAACAGTGACACTTCAGTTTTCTGTCACCATTTTTTTGGTGCCCATTGGTGGGGTTCTTTTTCCTCTGAGTGCTTGAGCTTTGTAAAAAAAAAAAACGACTTTTGTCCCATCAAATGGATTATTATAAGAATCACAGCTTGTGAAGGGCTCTCAGATGGATCATTTCTAGCTGGAATACCTTCTCCTTTGAGACTCTCCACACCACTCCATTTCTGTGACTTTCAACCTGTCATCCTAGAAGACGTGTTGCGATTCCCCGGAGGACTGCGTTCACTTGTTACCACAGCAATCCATGGCATCCTGTTCCTGACAAGGTCCGCTTCATTCTGTGAGTATTTTTATTCCTGTGTGAGTGTGTGTGTGCATGAGTGAGCATTTGGAATGAATCTGTAACAGTTGTTTAGGCTTAAAAGGCTTTAAGCTTGTTGTTTGTTTGCCGGTCATGTAACCTGATACGCTTGAAGTGATCGTACATGTGATTTTGCTTTGCAGACAATATGAGCTTTTTATCGCTGTTACGCCCACCTTACTCTGTCACTGCCCATTAGATGAAGTTCTACTCGTTTGTTTTGTTTTCTCTTGTGTAACCTTCATAGTGTGAGGACTGGGACGATCCGACTCCCTCCATCACCTGAAAGCGAATAGGGACGTGCCCTTAAACAGCCCAGTGAACTATGAATAACATCAGCGCACACTCCCACCGTACACACTTCCCACGGTCCTCTGCGGGCCTGAATATCCTCTTCTGAGTGCATTTATGGGTTTTTGTAGGCAGGCATGTAATAGACCTATTTGAGCTTCTTGTTCGCATTTGGGATCCAGATTGGAATGTGAGAAAAGTGTAGCAGAATGTGAATTACTAGAAGAGTTCACACCAAAAATAAACAGTCTGTCATTTACTCACCCTCATGCTTTTCCAAACTCCATTGCTGCTAATAGATCAACCAAAAATAAGTGTTTTTTGCTAACTTTAAGTTTGATGTTAGATGTGTCGTCACTGAATGCAGTGCACAGAATATGTATGAGATTTGAGATATACACTACTGTTCAAAAAATTTGAGGTCAGTCCCTTATGCTCACCAAGGCTGCATTTATTTGATCAAAAATATTGTGAAATATTATCACAATTTAAAATGGTTTTCTATTTTAATATATTTTAAATTGTAATTTATTCTTGTGATGGCAAAGCTGAATTTTCAGCATCGTTAATCCAGTCTTCAGTGTCACGTGACCCTTCAGAAATCATTCTAATATATGGATTTCGTGCTCAAGAAATAGTTCTTCTTATTATCAGTGTTGAAAACAGTTGTTAATTACTTAATATTTTTTGTGGAATCTGTGATACATTTTTTTCAGGATTTATGTTATTAATTAATTAATTTATTTTATGAATAGAAAGTTCAAAAGAATAGCATTTATTTGAAATAGGTTTTGTTGTAACAATGCAAGTCTTTACTGTCACCTTTAATCAATATTATGTGTTCTTGCTAAAGAAAAGTATTAATTTCTTAAAAAGGCTTTTGAAAGGTAGTGTTTTTGGGACATTTTTTGCTATTATTGGAGTGGACAACTGACTATTTATTTATTTTTATTTTTTTATTTAGTCATTTATCAGACTCTTTTATCCAAAGCGACTTACAAATGAGGACAACAGAAGCAACCAATTGTAGTATTAAAACAACTAAAAACAGATCCAAAACTAAAAGCTAAAACTTTATAAATACTACCTATACACATTTTAAAAATAAAGAGATTAAATAAAAATGACAAATGCATACAACAAAATTTCAAAACTTAACATTTAAATGAAAAACAAAAAATAAAGCTAAAAACAATTCAAAATATTAAAGAACAAAAGGTATAAGAGTATAATAATGATTCTAACATAACACTAAGCCAAACACCAAAAACACAACTACATATAAGTATGTACAAGTACAACCACACACACACATACAGTACATATATATATATATATATATATACATACACATTTATAAATTCAATATATATATTATTTCATTTCCATTTAGTTTGTTGAAGTATTAAAATAACTCAAATTAAATAAAACTAAAAACTTAATAAAAAGACCTATACAGACAAAATAAATTCAGACATAATGTAACTAAAATTAAAATAAATAAC